ATTAAAATTAATATCAACTTTAATATCTTTTTATATACATTTATAATAAAAAAATAAACTTAACTTGTGCTCTTAGAAAATTCCTTTATTTAATATATGTTGTATTCCCTCAGTCTATTTTTAATAGATTTAGTTTCATTTTTTAACTTTTTAAATACAAATTTCAGATAAAAATTTAACAACTTCTATTAACAAAGATTAATTTTTTTTTCTCATTTAAAATTTATATCTAAAAAATTAAAATGTTAAATTAGGTTTACAAAAAATAAATAGAGGGAGTAATTATCTTTTTTAAAATGAAGATAAAATAAAAATAAGTATATTAAATGATACCCTAAAAAAGAATGATGGAAAGCTAAATAGAAAGAGTAGAAAACTAAAGTGAAAAAGTAGAAAACTAAATTTGAGCATTTTAAATTAAAATTTAGGTCTACTAAAGTTGAAGGAAAGGAGGAAGATGTTAAATGCTAGTATTTCTATTAAATAAAAATAAAAATAAATTAAGATTTTTTAGTTTAATTGTTATTTATATAATAGAAATAGTGCTTATTTATCTTATCTCCTAAAGATTATGAAGAATATTACTCCAAAATTTCGTCATTTTAATAAACACTTATTAAAAAAAATTAAAATATCATATTTTTAAAGTATGAATTAATATGTTTTTTTTATCTTTTTTCATCTCAATTTTTTTGAAGTAAGACAGACAAGTTCTAATTCCTTATATATATATGTTAAACTTTTATTTAAAATTTATATTTAAGAAGCTAAAATGTGATACTAAATTTATTTAAAAAAAAAACCAAATATTATTTTATGAGAACTTTTAAATTAAAAAATATATATTATTCATATTTGGAGGGACTACTAATTATTATCAGTTGCTGGCTCATCAAAATCTTGATTATGAGTTTTATTTCAATTTTGAGTTACGTAATCTCCTTTTATTTTATTTTATTTTTTAAAAGCAAACAAATAAATCATACTTGGGAGGCTAAAAGGCACTCCATCCCTTACTGCAATTCTATTAGCAAACTTTAATGGTTTTTGATCCCCTAATCCAAACATGTTGTTGCAATCTTCATTTCACCCGCATCAGTACGCTTATAAGTTATAAAATATAAACTCTATTGCTCTGCTTACCAGAAAAGTTACCACTGCGCTACTTTTTGGCATTCACAATTATCTCTTACCATTATCAAAAAAAAGATGTTGGTCAAGCTACTAATTGATCATTTTACACAATTGAATCTATTTCGTATAACTTTTACCCGCCTCTTTTTAATGGTACTGTTTCGGCAGCTTCACAATCCAACGCTGTTGGAGTCTTCAGCTGCTTCTACACCTGAAAATCCCGAGGTTGTTTCCTCGGGATAAACACTCCGACGCTCAAGTCAGCAATACTCAATATTCTAGAGAGAGATGCTCTCGAGGAGTAATTGCAGAGAGAGAAGCGTAGAGATTAATTACCTTCTTCGGAGGTGGTTGGGAGGTATTTATAGCCCCAAGTGCTGACATGTATCTGCACATGTAAACCTCTCATTGGCCCACGTGGTGCTGCCCACGTGGGTATGTCTCCTCCTTTTGGGCCTGTGGGTGCGTAGTTAG